TTTATTCTTCTTAAAAAATGTATGATCTTATTTTTAAAAAATATTTTATAATTTGATATAATAATTAGCGTCCAAAAAAATAAGTGTCAATTCCTCTATCCAAGAGTTGATTCTTTTATCAAGAATAGTTTGACAAAATTAATACTTATTAATTTAAAATATTAATTTAAAGGTGTGTTTAAATTCTTGTGTTATTAAGCAATTAACTTTTTCAATATAAAAAATAAAAAGTTCACATTTTGCCATTAAAACAGTAAAATATTAAATGGTTGATGTTATAAGGACAACTTTTTTATATCACACTTTTATACAACTTTCACATGTTATTAAATGAGTGGATGCATTCAATATCACAGATCTCCAATGAATTAAAAGAATCAATCATTTTAATGACATATTAGATTGTACAAAAAGATGAGACAAAAAAATTGTACAAAAATCATTTCTCATATTAAACTCTATTATTAATGAGATGATGATAATTAAGAAGACATTTTAAATTAGCATTGATCCGCTGATAGAGTTGCTTTTGTTGGGTTCAGTCTCTGTACAATCACCATTACATTATGACAGTAACTCTTAAATTTAGCTTGTTTGCAACCTTTGTTATTGGATCCACTAACATCACATTTTTTATTTTGGATTCATTTGAGATTGTTGCGACTACTTGTGTCAGGTTTTTACAAAAAGTGTATATAATTAGTTTTCAAAAGTGTTGTAATATAATTACTAAAGTACACAAAATCTTACACTAGCAGCCTTAGGTGGACGGTAATGTGCAGCAAAATTCTTGGTTTGAGTCAAGATTCAAGATTTTATAAAAAGTAGTTGTGATATTTTCATATTCCCTCAAAATTTTCCCTTGCTAAAAAAGGTTACACAAAATATTAATTAAAATTAATTTAATTGATTTAACATTTTTACTAGTTCATAACTATGTAAAAAACAAAACATAATGAACGCACTCTTAAAAGCAGTGCAGTGAGATGGGTTGGTTTTCTTTTTGTGGGGCACGAGAGGATAAATGGACCTCCATCCCAGCTAAGAGGTTGATGGGGTTGAAACTATAATGGTGGCGATATGTTATAGTATTGTAACTCTTTACATTAAATTTGATAATTTTCTTGATGATGTCACATGTCTCAAAGGGAGATTTAATGGTCACAATTTTTTTCATACAATTAGAAATTCAAAAATGATTAATGACCATGATTTGGTGTGATGCAATCCACACTAAATAGAAATTTTGGTGCAATAAATGTCTTTCATGTGGCAGAAATGGAAGGAAAAAGATAATTGTTCCACAAAATTAGGAAAGCAATTGATGTGGTGTTGAATAAATCAATTTAGTTGAGAAAAATCAAAAGCAATTCTAAGAAGCTTGATTTTAGGGATTTTTGGCAACAAAAATTTTATTTTTGGCAACTAATTGGCACATGATAAAAATCTATTTTGCAAGAAAGAATTCAAAGTTATTGGGATTTCTTTGATGTAGTCAAGCATGATAATAGGGGAATATGCTTTATTAGCAAGTTTATTTATTTTTTTGATATGAACCACCCGATATCTGAAAGTCCATTGAGCTAACTAACTAATCCAAATTCGAGTGACACAAGACCCAACGGGCGGCAAAGCGCTCCCTCATGAGTTTTAATGGAGCTGCATTTCCAAAACTTGAACCAATACCTCTGGTTAAGCTAGAAAAGTTTCCTGCCAACTCATCCACCCGTTCGTGGGTTTTATTAGCAAGTTTATATTTCAACCTTTAGTTGTATATATTTTTTCTTAAGTGCTTAAATAAAGATCTTAGTTTTATTTCATTTCTATCGCTAGCTAGTTCTTTTCGTTTTTACTAGTTTCGATTTATATTTCTATCAGTACTCTTAATTTTTAATTTTAACTAAGTTTTAAGATTTCTAGCACTATTTAGTTTAATGCCCTTTCATTATTTTAGTTTTAGATCATCCTTTATTTCTATTATGCACTCTTTCCCCCTCTTTTTTATTTCTACTTATTTTACCTAACAAACTAATATGGCCTTAGATATGGAAAGTCCATGTCCTTCCAAGACAATTAGTTAGGAACCTTTATGCAAGAATGTACCTTTTTTCTGCTACAATCATCTAGACAAGGTATTATTGACACAATCATTCAATTAAATGATGTTCTTCTATCGACTTTTAAATAAGTTCATATGCTTGAAAGAAATGAAGGTCAATAGAAATCCTTATTTCTTGCTTTGAGCAAAGCACGCTTAAGCAACTTCTACCACGTGGCAGCCAAGAGGAGAGGATTTTGGAGGATACAGTAACTAACACTCGAAAGGTAGGGGAGCATTGGTGTTACAGTTTATTACTTTCATTTGTCGATTGGTTTTTCATTAGTGATAGCATAATGCTCCAGTTAGACTGTACCTAAGTGAGCGTATTTGTAGTAACAGAGGAGTGTTAGCTAGATAGCCCCTGAGCGTTGTGGCCTAGAGTAGAGAGTTTTTCATTCCTTACCTAAATGAAGAAGGTTCTGTTCCCTTCTTTGCTTTAGAAAAAAGGCACCAATTCACTGGAAGTCAGCTTGGAAGTAGAAAAGGGAATTGAATCCAGCTTTCACAAGATTGCTGACATGCCCATCTCAACATAGGAATATGAGCAGAAACTTCCTTGACAGTTTCTTTGCATTGTTGCAGTATACATCGAGTGAAAGGAGTTCATAATCATATGAATAAAACACAAACCCAGATTGTATATATACCAATCTCTTCAAGAGTGTTTCCAACTGACGAGAAGTTTGCTGATAAAACCAGTGCTCGAGCAGAACCTCAATTTTTATAAACACTTCCACATCAACAGGCACAAGGAAGAATTTATCAATGAAGTAGTTATGTATTCTCAATCTTTGAACTGGGACTTTGGGACGTCGAAAGGTTTCAAATGCATAGCAGTAAGCTAGTAATTAAGTCAAGGCTAGCTCATGTCACATTTCAAGCATAATGGAAGCTAGCGGGCAACCTTTAGATGTAAAAGAAAATCCTTTAGTTTGAAATGGATAGTTAATTTTCAATTTCATCGACTAGACAACACATTTTCCCATCCTCTAGACATTTTGATTTCAGCTTACCTGAATCCTGATTATGCAACAGATGATTAGAACATAAATGAAATCCAGCTTATAAACAGCATTGCTTACAGAGTTATACTCCATTGCAGAAAATTCTCCACTGCTGCCTTAAAAAATTGATATCAAAGAACTTTGTTTGATCCAGTCTAGCTCACAAGATTACTGACATGCCCACCTCAACATGGGAATATCTGCAGAAACTTCTCTAACAGCTTATAAACATTATCAGAAAATACAACAAATGGAAAGTATCTCCAACTACTTAAGCATCACAAGGAATTTCCAATCGGTATTGCTCTTCAAGAAAGTGATCTCCATCACAAAAGAAGTTGATTCAACCAGTGCCCGAACAGAACCACAATTTTTCACGAGCTATGTAGCATTTCATTGTCATCACTTATCAGGTCCAAGGAGGAATTCTCAATCTAGTAGTTACGTGTTTATAGCCTTTCAACTTGGACATTGAAAAGTTGCAAATGCATAGCAGTAATTAAATCAAAGCATATGGCACATTTCAATCATAATGTAATCTTAAGGCAACCATCAAATATAAGAGAAAATCATTCATTTTAAATGGATAGCTAACATTCAAATTTCATTCACCTGACTATACATTCTGCATCCTCAAGACATATTGAAGCATGAAATACCATATCAAGTCACCAAAATTAGCATATATCCGTCATCAAGAACCCATTTCTAGAATCAAAGGCAAGAAATTCTAAGCCCTGAATTTGACTAAACGTGGTCAAAAGGAGTTGACTTTTTCACAAGCATGTAACTCAGTTACCATTTTCTGCAAAATAAGGAGGCCAACAACGAAGGGGCTTCTTCATTCGTGAGCCACAGGCTTTTTTTTCATTAATTTCCTTTGGTCCCTCCAACCTTCAAGGTCCAAAGCATGGCAGTGTGTTCCATTAGGCACCGTCCAATATTTGCATGGCGCAGCAGAATCACAAACATAACAGTAACACTGCATCCAATTAGGCAATGGCATTTCAATGTCAATAATAAATGAAAAAAAGGGGGAAAATTAGAACTAGGAAACTGTAAACACATATATTGTGCAAGATGAAGAACTCCTCTACCAGTTCACAATATTTCTCATGTGGGGTTGTTTCAAAGGGAAAACTCAAACACAGATGCCTTGAATGTGGATAATCTCTGCAAGCCACCTATCCATCACCAAACAAAATCAAATCAAATCGTTCATATTCCATTCAATTAGTCAAAAGCAGAAAGAAACAAAAGACAATGAATCATATGCATAAACGAAAGCTTTAATTTTTTCTATTATATTCTTATATGTTTGCAAGAAACATAGATTAAACTGGAAAATTAATGGAGAACCAAACCTGGCCTTTCTCGGCGATTACAGAGAGGTCAGGAGCATCGACGGAATCACTTTTACCGGAGATGTTGGAGGTGTCAAAAGAATCAAAAGGGTTGAAATCCAGGACAAAACAATCTTCAGTTAAGTCAATGCGCTCCATATCGATTCTCCTTTTGAGACAAAAGACCGATCGCACCGGAGTCCCGTTAGTCTCTTTTTCCGGCGACGATGATGATATCTCGATCACCTCCATATTCACCTTCTTCTTTTGTCGCTTTCTTTTGCTGGATGTTTTGATCCCCATGAAACCCTAGGTTACTGCTGAGGTGCTCGAAATTTTTTCTGCGGCGGGGTGGGCACTGAATTTTTGATTTTTGAATGCGCGTATCGGAAAGAGGGAATAACCGTTGGGGCTGCTGGGTTCACAAAACGGTGACGTTTACAATTTCCTTTTCTTTGGGCTCAATGGATAAGTTTTTAAAATCTGACTGCATGGCCCAAAAATGTTGATATTAGGCCAGGGCTCAGTCTTAAATTTCCTGAGATGAAATGATAATACTTCTTGGCATATGAACAAGATGTGTTGGTTTTGGCGTTTTACAAACAATTATTAGTTATTAATTTAATTAAATAAATTAGATATTTTGAATTATAAATAACAATTATTTTATTTCAATTACCAAATATTAGCTAACAACTATATCTAAATAACTAATTTAAACATCCTCTTAGATTTTTAGAGAATGCTGGGAGATTTGCAAGAGATGGATGGAAAATGAGTTAGAGAGATTGTTTTTGTAATTTTACCTTTTTCTTAAGAAAATGTGGAAGCTTTCTTCCAGTCTTAAATTCTATCCCTCTCAGATTATTTTTGTCTTCTTTTGTTTTGAATAGGTTGGGATTATGCTCCAATTAGGGTTTCCATCTTGTTTTAGGATTTGATATGGTTAAGAGAGAGGATTTGAGTTTCTACTTGAGAAAGGAGAGAGAGATATGCTTCAAGGCAAAGGAACAAGGTTTTTTTTAGCATGGTTAAATCTTCAATTTGGTCCCTCAATTATTGTACGGACCCTCGATTTGGTCCCTGAACTAAAAAAATCCCTCATTTGGTCCCTTATTGTTTATTAACTTGGCCCCAAGTTGGCCTTTTCGTACGAAAGCGGCTTAATTTAAGTTTTAGTCTATTAACTATCACCTTGATTTCATTTTAGTCTAGAAACTATGTTTTATTTCTAACTGATCTATTAACTTTCATATTCATTTCAATTTCATCTACTTGGTCAAAGATAACAAAAAACTTCCTGTTATGTTAGAGAACAGTTAGTCCTCTGACTATATTTTTTTGATCTTTTAGTCCTTAAATTTATATTTGTTATAAAAATAACTTTTTTATTTAAAATTATTATTTATAGACTCTGATACTAGATTTTTATACGGGTTTTCCTATTTCTTTAATTTGGTATCAGAGCCTGAAAGTTAATAGACCACTTAGAAATAATAATTTTAATTATAAAAATCTAATATCAGAGCTTAAAAATAATAATTTTAAGTATAAAAGTTATTTTTGAGGACTAAAAGGTAAAAAAAATATAGTTAGAGGACTAACTGTTCTCAGAATAGGAAGTTTTCCATTATCTTTGACCAAGTAGACGAAATTGAAATGAATCTGAAAGTTAATAGACCACTTAGAAATAAAACATAGTTTCTAGACTAAAATGAAATCAAGGTGATAGTTAATAAACTAAAAATTGAATTAAGCCTACGAAAGCAAATGACGTGTTTCATTATTAATGTAACATGACAGTTAAGTAACAGCTTTTTGTCATGAAATAATAGATATGTTAGTTTTTTTTAATGGAACGACTAACTTGAGGTCAAATTGGTAAACAATAGGACCAAGTTAGGGGTTTGTACAATAGTTGAGAGACCAAATTAGGGATTTTTTTAGTTTAGGAACCAAATCAAAGGTCCATACAATAGTTGAGGGATCAAATTGGGAGTTTAACCTTTTGACGTTGATGGTCAAATTTCTTAACCTAGAATGATGAGTTGTTGAGATGAACAGGATGAGATCTCCTTCTTCCTTTTTTTTTTTTTTTTAGTGGAAAGAGAAATATTATAAATATGAAATTGCTATAAAGGGACATGCAAATTATAAATGATTGTGTCCAAATCTCTATAAAGACTAATAAAGGTTATTATTCTACAGTGCTAAAATAACCAAAGGAGCAATTTGGGCTAACTTAATCCCCCAATTACTTTAATCCCAAAAAAAATAACCTACATTTAAACTAAGAATATGTTTGGTTTGAGAGGAGGACGTGGTGAAAATTCTTAGATTTGGTTAGTAAAACTTTTAAAGGGAAGAGAGTCTTTTACTTTATTTTTTGCTTTTAATTTTTCATTTATCCAAAAGAGGAAGGAGAGGGATAAAAATTTCACTATTTAGTTAACAAAAATTTTGGTATAGGAGTCATTTACTTTATTTTTTTTCTTTTAATTTATTCATTTATTCAAATGAGGGGGAAATGGAGGGAAATGGAGGGAAATGGAGGGAAATGGAGGGAAATGGAGGGGAAGGAGTATATGTCGTATCCTTCCATTCCCTCTCTCCTCTCTTCTCTCTATTTCCTTCAAAACAAACAAATTATAAAGCAAGAGACTTGCTCCAAAAGAAAACAAATCTTTCTTGATAAATTGTTTTATATTTTTCCTCTCATAATTTCAAAAGGGATAATGATTGTTATACTTTTTATTTCAATACCTTTCAAACAACACTTATTAAGAAATTATTATTTTCAAATTTAAATTTAAAATAAGAAAAATTTAGTTGGTGAGTGTTGGGGAGTGCTGGTGATGTAAGTTGATGAGTCAGCAACAGTGATGATGTGGAGGTTAATTAGGATGCCACCCGTGAATGATGTGGAGGTTAATTAGGATGCCACCCGTGAATGATGTGGAGGGTTCTTTTGGCGGCACCTGTTTCACATATGAGAGGCTACGTGCCACTGGCCATCTCATTCTGCCCAGCAATGTTGGTTAACAACAAATTCTCCAACAAAGCTTGAAGGTGTAAGTTTTCCAGCCAAGTCGGGAGTAAAGTTTCTTTAGCGAAGTTAAGAAATAAAGTTTCTCCAGCAAAGTTTAGAAATAACGCTTCTCTAACAAAGTTTGGAAATAGAGCTTCTCTAGAGAAGTTTGGGAATAGAGTGTCCCC